TTGTCGTTTTGTTCCCTATTGTTTTTTTTTTAATTATTATTTTCAGTTCTGGCGTGTCATTTTGTTTCCTTTTTTTGCGTTTTGTTTCCCTTTTTTTTTGTTTGCGGAAAAAAAAAAGATGAAAAAGACAAATTGATTTCCCAATGTTTTTGGGTCGGAGCGAACTTTCCGCTAGAATATGGTCAGATGCAGGCAGGCGAATGTTTGGCGCTCGGTCCGCGGTGCAGGCGGTCCGTGGGCATCACCACACCACTATCGAAATGTGAGAAAACATGGCGGGCGTATCTGGTCATGTTCTAGCGGGAAGTTCATTCTCATTTTGCACATTTCGGGGGTGGTGTGGCGATGTCCTCTTTCTCTCTCTCTCTCTCTCTCTCTCTCTCTCTCACACACACACACACACACACACACGGATAGACACACACACACACACACACAGATAGGACAGAGTTTGCCTGTCTGTCTGTGTATGTGTGTGTGTGTGTCAGAGAGAGAGATCGAGCAAGAGTGTGTTTGTGTGTGCGCGTGCGTGGGTGTGACAGAAAGTGTGTGGACAAGTCTGTGTGTGTGTGCGCGTGGGTGTGTGGCAGAAGGTGAGTGAGGTCAAGACTCTGCCATCCGCTTTCCCCGCCGGTTCCGCTTCGACCTGCGTTTCCGCCACGTCCCCCTTCCACCCTGCTTCCAATCAATCAATCAATCAATGCGCCCCTGCTTCTTTTTTTTCACTTTTTTTTTCTTTCGATTGATTGATTGATTGATTGAGTGGTGGGCGAGTGGTCGCCCCCCCACCTTTCCTTACTCGCGCGTCGTCATCAAGGGGAGGGGGAGGCAAGGGAAGCGCAGGGGGAGGCATGGCCATGAAGGCCTTGCCACGTGGTCATATGACGTGCGCAAAGGTTGGTTAATCAATCAATAAACGAAGGAAGTGGAGGATGGGAGGGGTGGAGCTGCCATGCGGAGTGGAAAGCCATGTGATCATATGAATACTTGAGACCAAAAAAAAAAAAAAAAGAATATATCGTCAAATGGCTGGAGAGGAGGGAGTAGTGACGTGATGCGTGGAGGAGGGAAAAAGGGAGGAGGGAGAGATGAACGGATGGGGAATGAGAAAGGAAAAAGGAACAAACATGAAAGGAGGAAGGAGGGAGAAAGGGTCGAAGACGAAGTGAGGAAGGAGGAGGGAGAAAGGAAGGAGGGAAGAGGGAGCAAGGAAGAAGGAAGGAAGGAAGTGGGAGGGAGGAAGGAGGAAGAAGGAAGGAGGAAGGAAGGAGGAAGGAGGAAGGAAGGAGGAAGGAGGAAGGAGGAAGGAAGGTGCGGA